TAATTGTGATCCTCCCACTTGGCTCCCTCCCCAGCAGCTGTGGGGTTAAATCTGTCCTTTTTGTGACACGTCTACTGCCCTACTGACACCGTCCACTGTCCTACTGACACCATCCACTCCCCTACTAACACCGTCCACTGCCCTACTGACACCATGCATTGCTCTATGGACCCCATCCACTGCCTTACTGACCCCATCCACTGCTCTGCTGACACCATCCACTGAACTGCTCTGCTGACACATCCACTGCCTTAGTGACACCATCCACTTAAAACAAGACAAAAAAAAATATAAGTTAGCAGGGATGGTGGAAACTCCTTTACAGATATTTGCAATACAAATTATCTTGCAACAACTTTTTAGTTGGGAGGTTCTCACCATTTTTTGCACTTTTTTTTGTTTAGATTGTTACACTGAATTTGATACAGTTTAGTTACTATTGCACTTGAAGTTAATCTGTATTGCAAATATCTATAGGATATTATCTGTAAAGGGGTTTCCACCATAACTGCTAAGTTTATTTAGTTCCTATTTTAAGTTTGATGTGTATTCTATGTGAAGTTACATATCACAGAGATCTGTACTGTGGTATATTGATGTTTATTGAGATTTTCATACATTAGAGGGCTCCAGCATTATCGTCAAGTTATTGCTTAGTAAGGTAGCGCTGCAAGTAATGTTTTTTTTCTCTTGCCAAACTTTACTTTCACCACATGCCAATATTTAATTATGCCACATGCCGATTTTTAGTATAATAGGTAAAGTTTAAAAAAATGTCAGTAAAAGGCTTGCTGCTAAGCACTTTTTTCACAAAAAAAAAAAAAAAAAAGTACCTCACTAATCAGTAACTTAACAATAATGGTGGAACCCTCTAATGTATGGAAATTTCAAAAACTTCAATATTAACACAATACCGGTCAAAGTAAAAGAGGACATAAAAAGAAAAAATTTAGCAGGGATGGCGGAAACCCTCCTATAGATATTTGCTATAATTTAAGTGATATGTGACTTCACATGTAATACACATCAAAATAAGAATAAGCCATACATTTTTTTAAAAAAATTTTTAAACTTAGCAGGGATGGTGGAACCCCTCTACAGATTTTTGCTTAACAAAAAAAAATAAAAAATTGTATTGCCAATATCTATAGGAAGGGTGCCCACCATCCCTGCTAAGTTTTGTTTAACCCCTTGACGCCTACGTAACACGAATATGCGGCCTCACAGAACTGGGCTTTTTTTCCGTGGGGCCGCATAATTGCCTACCTGTCTTTGTGCTGGGAGGACGGCGCGCTCCCAGCACAACGACTGCGGTGTCACTGAGAGCACCGGGTCCCGTTTTAACGATCGGGACCCGGGACTCCCAATTCCCGGTCACATGATCGCTGTGATAGCCTCACTGTGCAGCCCGGACCCCTTGTTTTTTTTTCTCTCTCTATGAATGGAGGAGAGAGATACATTGTATCTCTCTAACTCCCAGCATAAAGGGAAAAAAAAATTTTGTTAAAAAAAAAAAAAAAGATAAATAAATAAATAAATATTAAAAAATAAAGAAAAATTACCTAGATCAAGGTTTGATCTAGTTCAGTGCCAGGGTTAGTGGTTGGGTCAAGGGGTCAAGGTCAGGGTCAAAGGTCAAGGTCAAAAGGTCAGGATTTAAAAAAACTTGGTGTCAGTGTGTTTTAGGTAAAAAAACAAAAAAAAAAAACAAAATGCGCACTATTGTTTCTGGGCTGTACTATGGGTACAAACAACAAATAACACACACATATATGGTATCGCTGCGATCGCCAAGAGCTGGAGATCGCCAAGAGCTATATTGGGTTGTTCTTTGGTGGTAGGTTATGGTAGTAACAAGAAACACACAGCTAAATTAAAAAAATGATTTTTGTTTTTACTATTTTGGGCCAGTTTTCCTTTGATAATAAAAAAAATCAGGAGATATCCATTACCATTTACCACCAAATGAAAGCCCAATTTGTCATGAAAAAAAAACAAGGTATAATACACCTGGATGTACAAAGTATCTGTGATGATATGTACGGTTTTACAAACACATGTCAACGTTGTAAAATTGTGCTTAGGCATTTAGATTTGTATTACCCTTAGGCGTGAAGGGGTTAATTATGTCTTATTTTAAATTTTTATGTGTATTATATGGGAAGCTACATATCACAGAGGCCGGTATTGTGGAAATATGGAAGGGTTCCACTGTTATTGCTAAGTATAGTTGATAGTAAAGTAGTGCTGCCCTATTTTTGCTTTTTGTCTAACATGTCGATCTTTACTTGCGCCACGTGCCGATGTAAAGCAGCATGTCCTGGCTCTCTCTTTCTGTGTTGCGTAGGGTTGCCACCTCATCCCTTTAAAATCAAACACATATTATTTACCCAGGTTCTGGGGCTGATTAAGGTGGTAATTAAACTCCGTGCTTTATCTGCATTAAATTAGCCCCAGAACCTGTGTAATTAATATGTGTTCGGTTGAGGTGGTAACCCTAAGTGTTGCAGCTAGGGATGTGCTCACATACACCATACAAGCACTGAGTGCTGTTAGAAAGATCTCAGAGTTACAGGAGGAGGAATATTTATTATACTGAAATACAGCAGAATACAGTGGATGTAATATATAATTATGGCCATGTGTCTACAGTTCGGTAATAATTAAATAAAGTGTGTAAGGGCAATTCGTTTATCTGCTGTTGTGGCTGGAGGGGGAGAGATGGCATGTGAGGATAGCAGCCACAGCCAATAACAGAAAACCTAGAAGTTCAATATGTCATGAAAGTAGACTACATAGAACTAAACATTTTGCACATGCATGCTTTACATTTATAAGATTGTCAGCTATCTATCCTGCTGTGTGAGCTGCTCAGCAGTATGGCTGGAGAATGAGGGGGAGTGATTTGTGTTGAAGGGGGCGAGCACACATTCAACAAGTACAGGCCTAGTGTACTCGCCACACTCACTGAAATTGGTTGATGGGAAATGTAGTTTCTTTTTCCTGCACTGTAGAGAGAGAGGACAGGATAGGATATGATGTAATCTCTGCTGTTCAACCTCTTCCTTGGCTTGAATTACAGAGATGACTTCCTGAAAACTCAATTAGACTTTTCTCTTCAATGGTAAGGAATTCACAAATGTTTTGTGTTTAGTGTTTTGTGTAGGAGTGTACTAATAGGTGATTTTTTTTTTAACCTATCTTGGAGTTCGTCTTTAATAACAGAAAGTATGCCCCAATCAAGGACATATAGCAGAACTGTCAGCATAGTCACAACACTTTAAGGAGAGGTTCACACCAATGCGGTGCGGGAAACGCTGTGAATCCTGTGCGCTTCCTGCACCGCAGTCACATCGCGTTCATGCTATCTGGTTTGGGTGTCAAGTATAAATTAATGACACTCCAAAACAGATTGCAAAACGCAATGAAATTGCCATAAAGGTGCAGATTTAAAAAAGGGTCCTGCACCTTTTTGATGCAGATGGAATACGATTTGAGCCATACAAAATGTGCCACACAGACATTTGCATTAGCTCAGGAATGTGGTGTGATTCCTGTGCGAATTGCATGCAGTGTCCTGCATCACATAGTGTGAACCCGAGCTTAAGGAGTTGTGCTGGTTAGAGAAGTTGCTGGAGGAGAGCAGCAACGCAGGGAATTAACCATTCAATGGGTAACCCCACTTTTGTGGAAAAAAAATATAGCGGAAAAAAAAATAGCAAAAAAAAAAAATATAGCTTGGACAATTGTTACACAAGCCATATTGTAATTTGATGTTATTAAAAATGTTATTTCCTTGTCAATCTGCAGAACTTTAATTTTCTGTAAAATTCTATGCAATATGGTAACCTGGAGGCTCTCTCTACACTGTTGGTGTAAGTAATACACCCAGAAATAACATTTCCTGCGTGTGTGATTGGTTCACTGAATATCCCAGGAATCTGCACTAAGATACAAATCAAAGTTTAGGCAACCCCTACAGATTTCAGTTTTGGTGAAAGGGTTAAATACCTTTAAAGGGATGCAGACACTGCATCTTTTCTCATTAGAACAATGAGAGTGTACCAGGTGATTATAATGAATAACATCCTCCCAAACAGAATAAGTCTGTAATCAGTCTATTGAAACAAACAGCTGTACTTGTGCTGTTAAATCTAGCCCCTGTGTGAGCGGATTTGGTGCTTACCATTGTTACATACATAGTGCCCCTTTCACATGAATGTTCCGATTGGGACTGCCTGCCCATTTTTCAGGCAGACCCGATCGGAACCTCTATTCTCTATGGAGCATCGGGTTTAAACAGACGTGTTCGTTTACACCTGCCGACGTCCAGTCTGATCTGATACACCAAAGAGAGATGGATGGGGATCTGTTCCCCTTCTGTCAATCAGATTAGATGGCAGTCAGATGGAAACAGACAGATGTTTCAGTTTCCATCTGACCGCCCATAGAGGACAGCGGGCTGTGTCCCTGTCTGCTCTGCATAAGCGGAGCAGTCACGGACCTGTCATCTGCTTGCTCAATGGGGATCAGTGGACAGATTCCCCATTGAGCAGGCAGATCCACTGACGGGTCTGCCCTGTGTGAAAGGTGCCTTGTTCTGGTTGAAAAAAAGTCCACAAGTCCATCTAGTTCAAGATATAGAAACAAGGAGCTATATCTTCAGAACAAGTTGTTAGGAACAGCACTTTGAGTCATTCCAGCTTTACTGTAATTCAGTGCTGCCATTATTTGTCCTCCTTCAGGCTTATAAGAAGGGAGAGCAGAGCCCACTCCATCAACATGTTGTCCTCCATCGTCCAACCATAAGCTGGGGGCAAATTGATTACCAAGCTGTATTGCTCAACTGCAGAATGGAGAAAACTGGAGAGGTTACCAATATCCTGTCAGGATTGTTTACATCACAAACGTAGTTCAACAGGTTTACAATCAGTTGGTATCTAATATTGAACTCAACAACATAGTTCACATTTTGTCTGAAGTTAAGCTTTAACATTTACCTTCCTTCTCCATTTCAACCACTTTCTGTTCATATGGCTGAGTGCCAAAGTCAGATCTAATAAAGTTATTGTCACCAAGATATTCATGTATGGTTTCCATGAGTGACTTAAGCTTATCTCCAAAGGGATCCTAAACCAGAGGAAAATGTGTTAGAATGCCACATTATTAAACTTCTTCATAACACAATTCTGTTAGAATAATGAAAGCTAAAAAAGATAGCAATACATTTTGCTGTACGCATCTTCTACCATTAGACTACAACCAGCAGCAGCCACATGAGGCAACCTAGGTTCTCCCCTCCAGAAGAATAGTATGTATGGAGTAACTCATTATTGCATCAATTTTTGGTCATTAATCTCATGCGAGAGGTAAAGAGAGAAAATGTACAAAGAATGTTTAGGTCTGCTCTTGCTGCCTTCTGCTCTCCCATTCTATGAATACAACTCAAAGGAAAGAGAAGTGTTGGGGAACAAGCCCTGTTACGCAGCATATCCCATCACTGACCTTTAACCTTTTGACCACCAGAAGGTTTTACCCCTTTATGACCAGGCCATTTTTGGCTATTTAGCACTGTGCTACTTTAACCACCTCAATACTGGGCACTTTTACCCCCTTCCTGCCCAGACCAATTTTCAGCTTTCAGCGCTCTCAGTCATGCAACACTGTACCCAAATTAAATTTTTGTTCTTTTTTTCACACAAATAGAGCTTTCTTTTCGTGGTATTTAATTGGCACTGGGTTTTTTATTTTTTCTGCGCTGGTAAATTAAAAAAGACCAAAAAACTTGAAAAAGAAAAGAAAATAAGAGAACTTGTTTTTTGCGCTGTAAATTAAAAAAGACCAAAAAAACTTGAAAAAAAAAAAAGAGAATTTGTTCGTTTTTGTTATAAAATTTTGCAAATAAATAATTTTTTTTGTATAAATTTGGGCCAAAATGTATACTGCTACATTGCTTTGGTAAAAATAATCCCAATTTGTGTGTATTATTTGGTCTGTGTGGAAGTTAGGCTGGCCATACATTACACAATTTTCTTTAGAAAATTGCTTTAGATTTACCAAAAACCATATAATATGAGGTCAAACCTAAACAACACTTTCAATTGTATCCAATTAGGCAGGCCCTTGTAGTACATAGTTGAAGGTAAATCTAAAGGAAATTGGGCAGAAATTGAAGAGAAAATTGTATAGTGTATGGCCAGCCTAAGAGTCTACAAGCTATCGTACCAATTATTGAAAATTGAATACACCTGATCAAACCTGATGTACTGACGGCCTATCTCATTTCTTGAGACACTAATGCAGGCCATAGATGGGTCGAAAATCGGCCGATTTTGCGGCAATGATGGGCAAATCGGCCGATTTTTTACCGATAAAAAAAAATCTGCGCATGAGAGAAGAAGAAGAATAAGAAGAAGAAGAGGAAGAGGAAGAGGAAGAAGAAGAATAATTCCAGTCCGGCAAAAAGTGTCCCTGCAGAGAGCTCCACTATTTCTTTGACAGTTCCTTGACATTTATAGCGGTTGCAACAATGTATCTATTTCCGAATAAAAACATCTGTATCCTAAATGGATACAAATAGATACATTGTTGCAACCGCTATAAATGTCAAGGAACTGTCAAAGAAATAGCGGAGCTCTCTGCAGGGACACTTTTTGCCGGCTGTAGATGGGATGAAAATCGGCCGATTTTTTTTTTACCGTTGCTGGTAACGTCGGCCGCTTGAACGACCGATTTTTCGACCTATCTATGGCCTGCATTAGGCTGGCCATACACTATACAAATTTCAGTCAAATTTTTGCCCAATTTCCTTTAGATTTACCTTGAAAGTGTTGTTAGGTTTGACCTCATATTATATGGTTTTTGGTAAATTTAAACCAAAAATCTCAAGAAAATTGTATCATGTATGGCCAGTCTAACAAGCCTGGACAGTACAAATACCCCCCAAATGACCCTTTTTTGGAAAGTAGACATTCCAAGGTATTTAGTAAGATGCATGATGAGTTTTTTGAACCTGTAATTTTTTTCCCACAAATCTTTGGAAAATGAAGAAAGTAAATAAAATGTGTTTTTTTTTCACAACTGTTATATTAACAGGTTATTTCTCTCACACAGCATATGCATACTTGCAGCTTCACCCCAAAATATATTCTGCTGCTCCTCTTGAGTATGGGGATACCACACATGTAAGACTTTTCCACAGCCTGGCCACATACAGAGGCCCAACATCCAAGTAGGACCTACAGGCTTTCTGGAGACATAAATTACACATTTCCTGACTACCGATCACATTTTTTAAGGCCTTGGAGCACCAGGACAATGCTTTCCAAAATGGGGTCATTTTGTGGGTAATTCCAAACACCCCAATGTATATTCTATGAGGCATAATGAGTCTTTTGAACATGTAATTTTTTTTCACAAGTTTTAAGAAAAAAAGTTGTTCATTTATAAGATATTTCTAACACATAGCATGTACATACCAAAAATGACACCCCAAAACACATTCTGCTACTCCTCAGTATGGGGATACCACATGTGTAAGACTTTTCCAGCCTTGCCATATACAGAGGCCCAACATTCAAGTAGGACCTACAGTTGAAACTCGAAAAATTAGAATATCGTGCAAAAGTTCATTTATTTCAGTAATGCAACTTAAAAGGTGAAACTAATATATGAGATAGACTCATTACATGCAAAGCAAGATAGTTCAAGCTGTGATTTGTCATAATTGTGATGATTATGGCTTACAGCTCATGAAAACCCCAAATCCACAATCTCAGAAAATTAGAATATTACATGCAATCAATAAAACAAGGATTGTACATAGAACAATATCAAAAGTATAAGCATGCATATGTACTTAGTACTTGGTTTGGGCTCCTTTTGCAGCAATTACTGCCTCAATCTGGTGTGCATGGAAGCTATCAGCCTGTGGCACTGCTGAGATGTTATGGAAGACCAGGATGCTTCAATAGCGGCCTTCAGCTCTTCTGCATTGTTCGGTCTCATGTCTCTCATCTTTCTCTTGGCAATGCGCCATAGATTCTCTATGGGGTTCAGGTCAGGCGAGTTTGCTGGCCAATCAAGCATAGTAATCCCACGGTCATTGAACCAGGTTTTGGTGCTTTTGGCAGTTTGGGCAGGTGCCAAGTCCTGCTGGAAAATGAAATCAGCATCCCCATAAAGCTTGTCTGCGGAAGGAGGCATGAAGTGCTCCAAAATCTCCTGGTAGACGGCTGCGTTGACCCTGGACTTAATGAAGCACAGTGGACCAACACCAGCAGATGACATGGCTCCCCAAATCAACACAGACTGTGGAACTTCACACTGGACTTCAAGCATCTTGCAGTGTGCGCCTCTCCATTCTTCCTCCATACTCGGGGTCCTTGATTTCCAAATGAGATGCAAAAGTTGCTCTCATCAGAAAAGAGGAGTTTGGACCACTGAGCAACAGACCAGGTCTGTTTTTGTTTAGCCTAGGTAAGACGCTTCTAATGTTGTTTGTTGTTCAGGAGCGGCTTGACAAGAGGAATACGACATTTGAAGCCCATGTCTAGGATCCGTCTGTGTGTGGTGGCTCTTGATGCACTGAGTCCAGCCTCAGTCCACTCCTTGTGAAAGTCCCCAACACTTTTGAATGTCCTTTTCCTGACAATCCTCTCCAGGCTGCGGTCATCCCTGCTGCTTGTGCAATTTTTTTCTTCCACACTTTTCCCTTCCACATAACTTACTATTAATGTGCTTTGATACAGCACTTTGGGAACATCCAACTTCTTTTGCAATTACCTTTTGAGGCTTTCCCTCCTTATGGAGGTTGTCAATGATGGTTTTCTGCACAACTGTCAGGTCAGCAGTCTTTCCCATGATTATGATTCCTAATGAACCAGACTGAGAGACCATTTAAAGGCTCAGGAACTCTTTGCAGGTGTTATGGCTTAATTAGCTGATTAGAGTGGGACCCTTTGAGCCTAGAATATTGCACCTTTTCACAATATTTTAATTTTCTGAGATTGTGGATTTGGGGTTTTCATGAGCTGTAAGCCATAATCATCACAATTATGACAAATCACGTCTTGAACTATCTTGCTTTGCATGTAATGAGTCTATCTGATATATTAGTTTCACCTTTTAAGTTGCATTACTGAAATAAATTGCACGATATTCTAATTTTTTGAGTTTCACCTGTACAGGCATTCTGGAGGCATAAATTACACATCTCCTTTGCTGACTACCTATCACAATTTTGAAGGCCCTGGAGCACCAGGACAACGGAATGACCCTTGGATGCCTGCCTATCTTCTGGGAGTGCTGCGCTGCTTGTACTCGCCACTGCACTACTGGTGGATGCCTGCTCCTCCTCAGATCTCCTGAACCTATTTGTATGGACTCTCTCCTCCACAGAATCCGTTGCTGACCAACTGCTTTTAATTGGCTCATACACAGAATCTGAGTCTGACAAAGAGAGTTCCCCACTACTCTCGTCTGTCATACTCAGTATCTGGAAAGCCTGCTCGCTGCTGTATCATTTTTTTGACATTTTGATGTTCACTGGTACAGATGTTGATTTGAAACAGGTACACTGTGACAGATATTGAGCACTGGTAAACTGTGACAGATGTGGATTTGACCCTGGTAGGCTGTGACAGATGTTGATCACTGGTACAGAAGTGGATGAGCACTGGTACACTGTGACAGATGTGAATTTTACACTGGTACACCGTGACAGATGTGGATCACGAGTACTGTGACAGATGTGGATCACGGGCACTGTGACATATGTAGATCACAGATACTGTGACAGATGTGGATCACTGTCACTGTGACAGATGTGGATCACTGTCACTGTGACAGATGTAGATCATGGGTACTGTGACAGATGTGGATCAGAGATGTGGATCACGGGTACGGTGACAGATGTGGATCACTGGCACTGTAACAGATGTGGATAACGGGTACTGTGACAGATGTTGGTCATGGGTACAGTGACAAATGTGGATTATTGGCACTGTAACAGATGTGGATCACAAGTATGATGACAGATGTGGATCATGGGTACGGTGACAGATGTAGATCACTAGCACTGTGACAGATGTGGATCACCGGTACTGTGACAGATGTGGATCACAAGTACT